CGGACACTGGTGCTCTATGACCTTTGAAATCGTACTCAGGTTTGAGATGGGGTCGACATTTTGATTTAAAGCTTTCATGACTGCAGGGATTCATATTCTTGGTTCTTTCGGTAAAGTCACGTAGAAGGGAAACAATAAAATAATAAAAATATGAAACAATACAATTCTCACGACGTTTCGACTGCAACACAAGCAATCACCGGTGTCCCCCTTATTCTGACTCAGTATAAAATTGTTATACAATCTCAGTATAACTATTCCCTCATTGTGCATTATTTAGCCAACGTGGATATATTAATGTATTAGGACCCTGGTTTGTGAGAACTTGGATGACTGTATCAACTTCCACTGAATCGAATGTGCTTTTATAATCTACTAAAGTTAGGAAAAACGGTGTTGTTTTTTTTACTGCCTTTTCTATAATCTTTCTGCTTAAACATTCCTTTTCTAGAAATAGCTTGTCCTCCTGGTTGGTGAGCTTCTAAATTGAAGATGTTTACCAATACAAATGGATTCGAGAACTAATGGCCTGAAGATAAATGGTGAAATAATTAACCATCTCAGATTAAATTATGACAATCGCTGGTAATGAACTTACCTGATATAGACTAGGTCAAATCTTCATATATGTTGTTGCATAATGTTTAGGAGGCATTTATCAGGAAAAATGTTTCTCAAATACATCTTTTTTTAGAAACGATTTGGGTTCATGCTGAAACTGAGTATTGTGTTTTCCATGCCCAATGTTGATGATTTAGGACCGAAATCTCCCAAAAACAAAATGGCGATATATCTATTATGTTTGCATGCAATACTATGTGTTTGATAATTACAAACACTCTGAACAAATAAAATAGGGCTATATTCAAAATATATGTGTGGAAAGTCTTATTATAACCCTGCAATGGAAAATATTTGTGGGAAATTATGTAACACATATATTGCTGATCCTTGATTTATTTGTGTAAATTTTATGAATATATCAATTCAAGTCACACAAACAACTGGTCTATTTATACGCACCACCGATTAACTCCAAATCATTATACGTCTAGTCACAAGGGACTTTAATTGCAATACATATATATAGTGCAATTGTGTGACGTGCATGCTTTTGTGCATCCACATGAGACGATATTGCTGCACAACTGACTCTGGAAGTGGAGCAATTCCCGCATGAGCGACGAGTTCGACAAATACATCTGCCAGTCCACCAAAGTTTGTGACTTCTGCAGGTTGGCCAAGTGACACGACTAGGCCTTGGCCATCTATCACCAGGCACGACGTTCCACCAAACTAAAACTAGAAACTAAACTATTTTATTTGTATTTTACCAGGTTAGGCCCACTGAGTTATGTAGCTCTTTTTCAGAAGCGACCTGGTCACAAATTATAGCTCAACGAAGTGGCTTATCACGTGGACATTTATAGCATCATGGTCGAGATCGAACACACGACCTCCTGTATACCAAGCGAGGTAGTTAACATATCGGCACCTTGGCGCCCACTAATCTCTGGTGGACAGGTCACACCTTTGGACATTACAATGGCTACAATGGCGTGGTTGCCAGTCCTTGGGCTTCCATTGTGTATGCAAGGGCAAAGGGCACAGTCATCAGCTCATGAAAGCAGAACTCAATGCACCGTGCAGTGATCTCACGCACGTAATGCACACGTAACTTGTAACGTAACGTAACTTGTAACACGTAATGCACACGTAGCTTGTAACGTAATGTAACTTGTGTAGTGTTTATAATGACGAATAAACTTCTTATGAGGCACACTCTGTTTATTGTAATTCTTCTCTTACACAGTCCTTAACACACAGAGAGGTATACGATCCCCTCACCCAATACCCTAAGAAGGTACAGCCTCCGGACTTAGCGGGACCTACACATAGGTATCTTGCTAACCTAAGGAGGTACGGCCTCCTGTCTTGGCGGGACTTACACGTCTACCGCTATCCTAGAGTCCTCCGGCTGGGACCTAGGGGAGGCTATCTGACCCACCGCTGGCTCGGTGGGTCTTCACCACTAAATACGCCAAGCCTCAGCCCTCACAAGGGCTGGAAGGCTGGGTCCAGGGTCCTGGCGATCTTCAGCCCAGGCTTCGGCCTTCGCGTAAGGAGAGAACTCCATGCGCTCTGCGCGCTCACCCTTCTTATACCCGTTTGTGGTCAGGTCCTAACCAATCCCACATTCCCACGTGGAACTGTCTGATTGGTTCTTACCAAGCTGTGGCTACGATCCACTTCACCTCATCTGACCCCAACCGTTTCACACAGAGGTAACGCTGCACCGCCCCTTTGATACCTAGTGGCAATGCAGGTTACTGAACAGTGAGTAGTTAGCACCACTACACTTTTAACACGTAATGCACACATAACTTGTAACGTAACGTAACTTGTAACAAGTAATGCACACGTAACTTGTAACGTAACGTAACTTGTAACACGTTATGCACACGCAACTTGTAACGTAACGTAACTTGTAAAACGTAATGTGCATGCAACTTGTAACGTAACGTAACTTGTAACACGTAATGCACACGTAACTTGTAACGTAACGTAACCTGTAACACGTAATGCACGTAACTTGTAACGTAACGTAACCTGTAACACATAATACACACGTAACTTGTAACGTAACGTAACTTGTAACGTAAGGTAACTTGTAACACATAATGCACGTAACTTGTAACGTGGCGGGCAGTATTCGCTCACTCTCGAAGAGGGAGAACGACTCAGAGGCGCCGGGGACGCACAGACAAGCGGGAAGGCAACCACGTAATGAGCCAGTGCCAACAATTTTCCCCAACTATACCATCCTCTATACATATATATCACGTTATCAGCCAATGAATGAGTCCATAATAGAGCTATTTTGGGTTAGATCACGTATATATAAATGTGTCGTTAAACCCGCCACCACCCGACACAGCCAACTAGTAAGGGCTGTCACGTAAACAGAATGTGCCAACTCGTCATTAGTACGGCGGGTTTAATGACACATTTATATATTTACGGGAACTAACCCAAAAAAAACTCTATTGTGGATGATATTGGTCGTGAAAGCCTCCTACGTGTTAAACCAATTCATGAGTATTTACACGTGGGAGAAAAGCAGAGCACCCAGAGAAAGCCCACGCATGCGAGGGGGTAAAGCTCTATCCCAGCGGTTCCCACCTGGGCCTACGCGAACCCCTGGGGGTGCGTGCCAATGCCTCCAGGGGGTATGTGTGGTGGTTTGTAAGTGCGTGAAATTGACTACTATAATGAGCCAAGAATGTCTGTGTGTCCCGCGCGTGACGCCACTCCACGTCGGCCAGCCCCCCTCATTAATACTCATGAAGAGGTGACGTCCTCCACGTGGACCCCCCCCCTCATTAATAATCATGAGCGGGTGACGTCACTCCACATCGAACAGCCCCCCCCCCCCACATTAATAAATCATGAAGAGGTGACGTCTTCCAAAGGGACACCCCCACCATTAATATTAATTAGCGGCTGACGTCACACTCCACATGGGGGGGGGGGGGGTCGAGGCGCCTCCTCCCCCCTCCTCGGCATCAACTCACAACCCTCACTACAAAGGCAGAACCCTCACGTCACGTGGTCTCACCCTCACTACAAAGGCAGAACCCTCACGTCACGTGATCTCCGTGACGCTGTTGAGACATCGGAGTAAAAAGGACGTCGTGATGAACAAGGGATTATAACCTTAACATTAAATAGGTCTGTGCCACCGCGGCCTTACAAATTGCACACGCGTTGATGCAATGAATGTATCACGTCGCGGTCTGATTTTCGCTTGCAAGTTTCAGGTTCACTGCAATACACCCGTCCTTGGACGGGCAAAAGGCTAGTGATATCATACATGAGAGTCATTGGTGAATAATCATGTGTGAATTTGCCAATATAAAAATAACTACGATGCCATTGGAATCCCTATGGTAGCCTAGAGCGCAATAAAATACCTTTCTGAACTCATTGATCGGAAACAACGCGGTTTCAAAGAGTGACCTGCGAGCGTGAACAACTTACGTCATGCATGCAGAGCATCTGCTGTTGTTTTTTTTGCTATTCGCTTGCAATTACTCGCTAGTTAAGATAACTCACAAAATGGACAATTAGTTAAAATACTGATGGTCATTATAGGAATAGGTTTTACCCTTTTAACTGGCACAAAAACTGACACCTTTATTCAAGGCATCATGTTTGCAATAACCACAACACAGTCAAAATGCAAACAAAAAAGACAACTTTGATAATAATATGCAGTCCTTGAATTTGATTGGTCCACACCCGAGACGGCTTTTCTTAGAGCCTAGTCTCCATTGGTGTTGGACCTGAAGACGCCAAAAGGCCCACCATCTGATAGTGCGCTGTTTTTGAGTTGTACGCCTTTTGGCGTCTTCTGGTCCAACACCAGTGGAGACTAGGCTCTAAGAAAAGCCGTCTCGGGTGTGGACCAATCAAATTCAAGGACAATGCATATTATTATCAGAGTTGTCTTTTTTGTTTGCATTTTGACTGCTTGTGTTGTGGTTATTGCAAACATGATGCCTTGAATAAAGGTGTCAGTTTTTGTGCCAGTTAAAAGGGTAAAACCTATTCCTATATCTTGTTACTGGCAAAGGAGGTCTCATAATGTAACTGATAGTCATTTTTCACACGCTTATTTCTCAGAACCATGTTGGGTTCGGCAAGGGTGGAATTGAGCACCACCGCTCTGTCCCATACAGGTGGAACAGGTGGAGTGCGCATCTTTGCTGTACTGCCTTCTCCTGGTGAGCCACGTGAAGGGAGTCTTCCAACATTTGTGCGATCCATCAACCCTCACTGCCTGCACGGTGCTGGATTACAGGCGTGCACAGGCAGCCAGCAACAGGCATGCATTGCACACTCACTGCCCCGTGTCGTTTTCTTCGTCTCGTCAACATCTCATCAGCAGTGGGGCCACGTGTCCCGCGTGCCGTGGCGAGGTCCTCTTGACACGAAAACCGCTGACAAACAGGAAGGGACGTTCGTTGTTTTTCGGACCCATGTCAGGGCTTGTCCCCAACTCCCTGCTGCTGCTGCTGCTGCTTCTTCGCCACGAGTGACATTGGCTGCAGAAACTGGGCGCGCACGCAAAAACCGAGGTTAGTGTCACCTGGCACGTCGTGCCGGTGCTGATAAGGAGACGGCTCCGATCCGTATAAAAGGGGAACCCTCCGCTGTTGTAAAGGCAGTCCAGCAGCGAGCAGAGTTCTGGGAATAACAGCCCAGCTCTCTCCTCTCTTCGGACTCTTCCAGGACTCCTCTCGCCTACTACTGAACCGCCACCGCTCAACAAACACCGCAAACATGTGGAAGCTACTCCTGGTGGCTTTGGCGTTTGCCCTAGCAGGTAAGTCCCACTCACTGCTCTACACACATTTGGAGTTATTTATACAGAGTAGAGTTGCGATGTCCGACGTTTCACTTCACGTGCTTGTTTAGCATGTGCAACGAAACGTCGGGCACCATGCCGGACTACACGAGCCTACAAACAGAAAACTGTATATCGGGAGCCGTACAGCACAACTGCAAAAAAAAAATCTACGCAGCGTCTGAAATTATTATTTCTCTGTGTGCAGTATTGGAGCTTACGGGGAGCGGCGGCAGAGTGGTTAATGTACCGCGTTGTGAGCCCGACCACCTCAGTTCAATTCCCATCCCCGGCTAATGCCATCTGAACCGGCGTTGGGCCTCCCTCAGGTAGACTCAGCCTTAAGTGAGTACCCGATTTAAATGCATATATCGGCATTCACGGAGATAAAGGCGGCTGGGCGCAGTGCTCGCCACAGTAGGGGCACACCTCGTGCATTGTGTAATAACCGATGGCACTTGCCCCAACAGCCTACATAGGCTACGCAGGGGATCTCAATCTTTGTGTTGTGGCTCAGTCTAGCGGCTATACAGTGTTAATAATGGCATTTTTTTCAGGATATACTCACAGAGTCTATGATTAAACGTTATTTTCTGCGGATGTCCTGCGTTGGGATATTTTGGTCGATTACTTCAGAAAACCGGAGTGGCCCAAGTCTTATTTCAGTAGTCAAATATTGCTCGGGTTTCATGCTGTGCCTTAATGTGATGATGTCTACTATAGCGGAAGGTCATCCATGAACGTCATCGTCTTGGGATGATAGGGGGAGCGGTGACGCAGTCATTCGCCGCACGAACTTGTCACCTTGGTGAAAATGGCAAAAATAATCTGAACAAAAATAAAATGTGTAAAACACGGTCCAATGATAGCTGTAAAGTAGGGATATTATTATCATAATAAAAAGTAACTTACAGCCCTTTGTCATTTGTCTCATCAAAAAGCAACCATGTGCTTCCTGGGGGTTGTTTGACCATACTTCACCACGCTGGTTAGCCAGTGCGGATTGTGAAGGTGGCAGAGGGCAGGGTCAGATCGGATATCACTCGCCACTGATGTGAGCCGTAGATTGGGATGCAAACTCGATTCGCACGGGTTCATAACACAGAGTGTAACGTACATTCTAAAACAAATACTCAACTTCATTCTTAACATTTTTTTATCGTGGGCAATGGAGCTTAATAGTAAAAGATTCTGCATTGATGAATTTTAAATATAAAGCGTACCCTAAGCAACATACCTCAATCTATAAGAATTGGTTTTACCCTTTCTGGCAATAAAACAGTTGTGTTAAGATGTTAAAACACCAAACAATAACCTTTTGCAAGGAATCATGCCTGCATTAATCACACCTACTTGTGGTGAACATGCAAACAACACAAACTCTGATAGTATATGATGCATTGTCTTCGAAACTGATTGGTCCACACCAGAGACAGCTTTCGTTAGAGCCTAACCTCAAACAGTGTTAGACCAGAGGACGCCAAAAGGCGAACAGCACAAAGACAATGCCACTACCAGGGCATTTATAACTTTTGGTGAGCAACTGAAAATTCGATATTGTAAAGCAAATATCAGCAAAACTCCATTAAGTCCTCAACTAAAACCATCTTCAAATCTAGATTAAAAGATTTCTTAAGTCCACCAGCCTATCAGTTTTCTAAACCAATATCATCAAGCATCGTTTGCTGCAGCACGTAAACTGCGACCCTGTTTCTACTCTCTGGGTCTCATCAGCAACAACGTTGCATTCAATGTGTCCGCAGACACACGTATTGCTTTAGCCTATTTGACTTTCCAGATTAATTTTAGCAGGCAGCATTTGTTTAAGCGAGTAAACTCGGAACCGGTTTTGACCTTCTGGGTCTCATCAGCAGGTACTAAAGCATTGTTACGTTGCTGCGGCCGAACAGTAACTCTTTAAGCTGTTCATAATAGCGCTATATTTTGGGTTAGATAAATGTGTCGTTAAACCCGCCACCACCCGACACGGCCGATCAGTAAGGGTTGTCACGTAAACAAAACGTGCTAATCCGTTACTCCTCCAGCACACCGGTGTGTTGGAGGCGCAAACCCACACAGCATTAACCGCTCGGGTGATGATGACGAAGAAGAAGAAGAAGACGCAGCATAAAGTCTTCGCGCTCTCACCCTCGTCACCCCCCTGTCCTCTCTGTGGGTTGCAGATGCGCAGTTCCAGCCGGGGAAGGTTTACCGCTACTCCTACGACGCCTTCTCCATCTCTGGGCTGCCCGAACCTGGCGTGAACCGCGCGGGACTCAGTGGCGACATGAAGATCGAGATCCACGGGCACACGCACAATCAGGCCACTCTGAAGGTGCGCGTGGTTGTCCACAGCAACAACAATCAAACAAACAAACATCGCCAGCGACGGCAAAACATCACTCGCTGCGAAAGTAGCGGCGACGTGCCCACACCGCTCTTTTCTTGTGCCAGGCTAGGTGCGCTTTTGAGGCGATCGCGTTAAATACAACAAATGCGACGTCGGAGGCGCGGCTCACTGGTAGGAGGTCACGGGACTGACCCCCGGCTAAATCTTGACTTAAAGCTTTCGTGATTGCAGGAATTAATATTCTTCGTCACGTAGATAGGTTCACGTAATCGTCTTGGTTCTTTCGGTAAAGTCACGTAGAAGGGAAATAAAATAATACAAATAAAACATAATAAAATCAAATTCTCCATTCTACGTGACTTTACCGAAAGAACCAAGAAGTTGAATCCCTGCAGTCACGAAAGCTTTAAATCGAAAGGTTCGCGTGACTTTACCGAAAGACCCAAAGAATATGACCCCTGGCTGTTTATAGTTTGACGGATCGAGATGAGTAGCAGACGCATCACCTCATGGATGGGTTCGAGGGGGCTGATAACCCCCCCCACCCGCCACCGCCGCCGCCCCCCAACGTTAAATGTCTGTTAGTATAACAACAAGTAAACACAAACAACAACAATAGTGGCGGCGACGTTACCACGGCGCTTGTGCCAGGCTAAGTGCACTTTGAGGCCACGCGAGCGAATTGTCCAACGCCCGCTGGCAGTAGGTCACGGGACCGACCCAGGTGGTGCCATGGGTTGATTGACTGAGATGACTGACTGAGATGACTGGCCGATGAGATGACTGAGATGACTGGCCGATGAGATGACTGACTGAGATGACTAGCCGATGAGATGATTGGCCGAAACACACCGACTATACACATGTACATGCATTCAGACACGTGCACACACACAGAGTACACAGAGGTGTGTGGTTTTGTGTTTTAGGACTTCTTCCTCTGTGTTCTTGATACATGTGTCTTGGACTTCATTTGCATTTGTGCTCCACTGCCAATGCAGAAAAGTGGTGGGTCCATTGCCCCCCCCCCCCCTTTGAGACCCCGAATATTTGTATTTTATCAATATTTAGCACCCAAAAAAATATCTTAGTTTTTTTTTTAATGTGTAGGACCCTACCATCCACCCCTGCCCCCCCTCGCCCGCCTTGTGAAGTTTCTAGATCCGCCTCTAATAACAACGTGTGCGCACAAATACGACCGCCTGCGACAATGCATGTGTGTACTGACTGCTGAACTTCTTTCGCGCCGTACGTAGCCAACCGCGCATCGGGAAGGACGCACACACAAAGCCACTTCTAAAGAAATGCATTTTCAACCCCCCCCCCTCCCCGTGTCCGTCTCTCTTGGCCATGACCCCGTGCAGATTACGCAGGTGAACCTCAAGTATTTCTTAGGACCGTGGCCTTCCGACTCGTTCAACCCGTTGACAGCCGGGTACGACCACCTGATCCAGCAGCTCGAGGTGCCCATAAGGTTCGACTACAGTGCCGGCCGCATCGGAGACATCTACGCTCCGCCCCAGGTCACCGACACCGCGGTGAACCTTGTCAGGGGAATCCTCAACCTCTTCCAGCTGTCCCTCAAGAAGAACCAGCAGACCTTCGAGCTCCAGGAGGTATGGCAGCAGCAGCAGCAGTAGCACGTTGTCAGCACTCACATCCGGTTGCCCCTATGCACAGATTTTATTCCTCCCGTGTTCAGGGGTTATAATAAACGAGCCTCGGCGCCGCGTCACTGCAGGACACATGCGCCTCTTTAATAAGTAACGGCAGCGGATGATGATGCCTCGCGCGGTCAAACGTCTGCGTATCCGACTGTCACATGGTCACCACGATCAATTTAGCTGCCCGCACCCAGTGCCAGGGTTGTCTTTTGTGCTCGGTGTAACTGCGGATTGCTCACAAGACGTTCGCCTAACTTGACTCTCACCCTCCCCATTCTCGTCCCATCGCGCTCCGCTGTGGCCGCGCAGACCGGCGTGGAAGGTGTCTGCCAGACGACCTACGTCGTCCAAGAGGGCTACCGCACCAACGAGATGGCGGTGGTGAAGACCAAGGACCTGAACAATTGCGACCACAAGGTTTACAAGACGATGGGAGTTGCCTACGCTGAGCGCTGCCCGACCTGCCAAAAGGTGAGCCTTCTGAACTTTGTTTTTTTTTGTATTTAAATAAGATGTTATCTTCCTCGCCTGCTATGCAGGAGGACGGGGGTTCGATCCCGACTCTGACGCCTGCTCTATATTTGGAGTTTGCAATTCTCTCTCTCCACGTGGTCGCGTGGATTTTATTTCTCCGGGTCCTCCAGTTTTTCCTTTCACATTTAGAAACATGCCTTTAGACTATTTAAATTATTTTGCTACTATAAATGTCCAAATGATAAGCCACTTTGTTGAACTTTCATTTGCGGCCAGTGAATTGTTTACCTTTCTTGCACTTTGCACTCCTGTCGTGTGTTATGTATTGTTTGTTGTTATATCGTTCTTACCACTGGACATCTGTGATGAAGAGCTTTATAGCTCATCGGATTCCTCCAGTATAAATATATATATTCTGATTCTACATCACCAGGGACATCGATGATATCATGTAAACCGGACTCATCAGAGCAGGCCCCGGGCGTGGGGGGAGCGAAATGAACATATAAAAAAAAATCATCATCAGTAACAGCCATGATCAATCTGCTGCTGGACGAAGAGCCTCGTCCAAGCTGCTGCCACTTCCCCGGATCCTGCGACGTAACAATTCATCCAGCACCCCGGCACATGAACTGACGTTGTCGCTCCTGGAACTTAGGATAATGACATTTATATTGCCACTTCCATTGGCGAAACACGCCAAGGTGCCTTACATTAAGTCTATTAATCATTATACATCACCATATCGCACTTAAACATTAATTATGCAGCGTTCAACTGTGTACCACACCGCAGCGTGTGTGTAATCGCTGAGGCTATGCCTTACAATACGTTTAATCGATATACATTATTCCACGGCAATGAAAATACAGGATACCTTCTCTACTGTACTGTGGTACCACATGAAAGCAGCCCTTTAGTAGGTTGCCAATGGTTGCATCTTGTACAAACATGTAAACATTTCATAACAATGCTCAGTATTTATCCAGGATAATAATAATCATTTTACGTGTTTTTATGCTGTCAAAAGTGATGTCATCCGACACCATGTGACAGCGATTGTTGCAAGCAAAGCACGCACGTTCATTCACTGTAGCGACGTGAGATTATTTTCAGAATATTTCGAAAACTAAATTCTCTCAAGATCAATGGGAAATTAATAGCTAGGCCTGAGTTTTAAGACCCCACGTAGTGGATGATGATGATGATGAAGCAGATGATGATGAAGCAGGTGATGATGATGATGATGAAGCAGATGATCATAATGATGAAGCAGATGCTGATGATGAAGCAGATGATGATGGAGCAGGTAATGATGATGCTGATGATGAAGCAGATGATGATGGTCGTGTTTGTGCAATGCAGATGAACAAGAACCTGCGCAGCACTGCCGTGTACAACTACGCCATCTTCGACGAGCCCTCCGGTTACATCATCAAGAGCGCACACTCCGAAGAGATCCAGCAGCTGAGCGTGTTCGACATCAAAGAAGGGAACGTGGTCATTGAATCAAGGTGAGGGGGAAGTGTTATCTCCTTCGCCTGGCATGCAGGAGATCGTGGGTTCGATCCCTGACGCCTGCTTATTTGGAGTTTGCATGTTCTGCCTGTGGTCACGTGGATTTTTCTTTGGTTCCTCCAGTGTTTTTTCCGTCTACATCTAGAAACATACGTTTAGAGTATTTGGCTGCTATACATTTCCACGTGGTAAGCCACTTCGTTGAACTATCATTTATGGCCAGGTCGTTTCTGAAAAAGAGCTATATAGCTCAGTGGGCCTTACCTGGTAAATAAAAAAAAAAACTTATTTTTAACAGATGAGAGCCCGATTTAAAGCTTTCGTGACTGCAGGGCTTCATATTCTTGGTTCTTTCGGTAAAGTCACCACGTAGAATGGATCTCTAGCTTAAAAGACGCTGCGAATCATCTTAGCAGCGCTCATTGAAGTGCTGTCGTCCCGACAGTTATGTTCCTTCACCTGAAGAAGGCCACTTGTGTTGTGGCCGAAACGTCGTGAGAATTTTATTTTATTATGTTTTATTTTTATTATTTTATTTCCATTCTACGTGACTTTACCGAAAGAACCAAGAAGATGAGAGCCCATTGAGACCAAAGTCTCTCTCTCCAGGGTGACCCAGACCACAAAGCAATGGGTCAAACACGTAAACAAACTAGTGAAACATCTCATACTATAAACCTGATATTAATTAAAATAAACTATTAAAATTACACCACCTTTTTTGACATTTTAACAAGAGGCAAATTACAATAATTAATGGTGGATAATTTAACAGATTTGTAACTTAATTTCTATTCGGGTTCATTTTAGCTTTGGAATAGAATATTGTTCAAAATAATTAACATTTGATAATGACCAATTGATGAAGGAAATGTTCCATTAAAAACTGATTGACTGGGAAGGAATCTTTTTTTTTATAATATACAAGAACATGATATACTTGGAGTTTGTTCCCGATAAGTTTAGTTTAATCCAAAAATGAGGCACAGATAAGAAATATCCGAGGATTGAGATTTTTTCATCACAGGAATTCATATCACTTATATTACATAATTCCATTGATTTTCCAACAGTAGCATCGCGTGACATCCCATGGACGTAATCGCTTGTTGGCACGAAAACACACATCTGAATTTTTTTTTTATCCAAAATTGTTCTTGCAAAACAATCTGGAAAAGATCCAAAATGCTTCATGTCTGAAACCCATCCGTCGCATTCTATGCTACTGAACACGTGACCCTGTGACCCACGTGTGTTTTGCAGGCAAAAGCTAATCCTGGAGGGAATCCAATCTGCCGGGGTAGCCAGCCAGGCAGCTTCTTTGCAGAACCGCGGTGGACTCATGTACAAATTCCCGTCGTCAGCCATCACTAAGACGTCGTCCCTCTTTGTGACCAAGGGAAAGAATCTCGAGTCAGAGGTAGAGTGTTGCGCCCTACGGAATTTACACATCAACCCGTGAATGACACAGCTCATACGTGCATCAGGCGGATCGTTGGCACGGTGTATGAATTACCAAACTAATACCGAATATTAGTTCGGCAGCCTTAAACATTGCAGAGCAGAAATCGATTTGCAATAAAAGTAATGGAGGGAAGTTAACGGTGTACTTACATTTTTTATGGAAATAATTGTTTTCGGGCATCCATTCATTGGAACAATTATATGGTATACATATATGATTGTATTATCAGTATATTTAAACATTATCCAGCAATGAATGCCATTAAGCACGTAACATTTTGGCCCACTATATAGTTATTGTTCGCATCTGCATATTCATGCAAGCAATTTTCAAAACCATAGGACTGCTGCTTAAATCGGGCCTATTTCTCAAAGCAATCTAAACTCGACGAAATCAAGTTTGGTCCAACTGAGAAAACTAGAGTATTCTGTATGGAAAATCTTTTGTACGGAAGATTATGTTTCACTAAGTAGCAGCAGCATCTCTTAAGTGTGCATCTGTTTGACCATATTAGCCATAAAGGCCACAATAACCTAAGGGCAATTTAGGGCAACTGTGGCAAGCAATCGTCTTTTGCATTAACTGCCGCACAATTTTCTCTTGTAAACATGTTGATATCCAAATACTGTGTCGATTAATTTGAACATTGCCCCAGATTTGTGGGAAACTGGGAAGGCAATCAAGTCACAGACAGAAGTCACATGACCACTAAATGTTGTGTCATCGAGGCAAATCATTGCTCATCCAATACAATTTCCGACAAACTACAAACTACGTATTTGACTGCCTATCTGTGATTCTTAACCTGGGGTGCACTCACCCCCTGAGGGTGCGAGATGTCCTTCCTGGGTAGTGCGAGATTTGTTTAGAAGGTAAATCATCGAAAAACAAATTAAGCACGGGCAAGTAAGAACAACCACTATGTTTCATCAAACACCTATGTATTTATAAACATGATACAATTTATTTACGATTGAGAACCAAAGGGGGTGCAAGGCTCCAGTAGATTTGAAGAACCACTGCTCTACACCACGGCAATACCAAGCTGCAGCGGCCGCTCAGAGTAAATGCCCCGTCCGCTGACGATGACGCCTTGCCGCAACGCTGCCCTCGTGTGCCCGCGCGCCTCCAGTCCCATTACTCGAACGGGCCAATAATCCGGAGGTGGCGCGTGCCCTCTGGTCACAGATCCACACCGTACTCAAGCACCTGGTGGAGAATAACCAGCTCTCCGTCCACGAGGACGCGCCCGCCAAGTTCCTCCGTCTCACCGCCTTCCTTCGCAACGTGGACGCGGACGTCCTCCAGTCAATCTGGCACAAGCTCCACCAGCAGAAGGACTACAGGTGCTGCGGGCCCCGTGCTGCCCGGCAGGGCTTCTTGAGCTTATTTGGGGGGGGGGGGGGGGGGAGGCGGGGTTAGATCGCGTAAATGTATAAATGCTGTGTCGTTAATCCCGCCACCACCCGACACAGCCAACCAGTAAGGGTTTGTCACGTAAACAGAACGTGCCAATTCGTCGCCAGTACAGCACTACCGGTGTGTTGGAGAGCCAAGTTAGGCGAATATTGCATAGCTGACGAGGTGGTAGTTGATTGTGTCCGCTGGCTGGCGAATGACCACTTGCCAAAAAATCCATGAACGTAAAAAAAAATGCTCTTAATTGAACAACATTTGAGCTGCTTTCAATATAATATTGGTTTTGACTGTCATGCATTGCAGATAGCTGTCATATGAAGAGCAGGTTGTAAAGTGCTCGCACATTGGGGGAAATCAACTGACCCTGCCATGTTGCCGCTGTTGTGGTTCTGCGTTCGTGACAGGCGCTGGATTTTGGACGCTGTCCCAGCCATGGCCACGTCCGAGGCACTGATCTTCCTGAAGCGGACGCTCGCCAGCGAGCAGCTGACCTCGGCCGAGGCCACGCAGATCGTCTACTGCACCCTGAGCCATCAGCAAGCCACTCGCGAATCGCTCAACTACGCACGGGTAACAGAGCCGGCTGTGGTCTCCTGCTCAGTTTGTCATCCTTGTCCCCGCACCTTCAGATTAGCACGGTTGGCTACGTGCGGTGCGAACAAGTTCAAAGATACTCCACAGGCTGGGAAACACATGTAATGCCGAGTAGAAATCATTATCATTATTCACACCCATTAGTCAAACTAGTTTAGTGCCACCGTTGTGACGAATGGCATTTCAAACAAACTGCCTTCTCGATGCGAATTACAATTTGCAACGGAATTTAGAGAAACGCAATCTAGTCCTACGAGAAAAGTGTGGGCAATTTTTAATTTTTAAATGGATGGCTTTCAATCACTCCCTCCTTCCCTCTCGCTGTGCGAATGGCCGTGTCTCCGTGCAGGAATTGCTCCACGCCAGCTTCATCAGGAACCGCCCCATGCTGCGCAAGACCACAGTGCTGGGATATGGCTCTCTCGTCTTCCGCTACTGCGCCAACACCGTCTCCTGCCCCGATGAGTTACTGCAGGTGAATTTCAGAGTAAAGCGTGAGCCCCGGTGACTCGGTGACGCTTTATCGGATTAAACAAAAGAGAAAACAAAAAAAACATTAACAGTCCTTTTGTGAATGCCCTAAGGCCTCTTCCCTATGTCGTGTCCTTCGTGGGGATCGTTTGACCATACTTCACCACGCTGGCGCGTGTGGATTGGTGAAGACAGGGCCCAGGAAGAGTTCGGATATCACTTGCCGCTCATGTTAGCCACGGCCGGGAATTGTATGAGAAATTAAAAGCAAATATAGACTCAGGATTATATTTAGCACTTTACTTAATCAGGTGAGAGCCCAATTAAAAGTATGTTTTTGCAACGGAGAGCTGAAAGCGAGAGTTGTGCAGGAGTAGTTATATGATTTAATAATATAGGTGCTGCTGATTTTCAAATTGGTTGGCTATTTTGGGCTACAGCCCGGGTACATGCATGCTTGCTTCTGCAAATTAACATTTGCTTTACATCATACAGTGAGATTTGGTAATTTCACTCTGATATGAGCAGATGGCTGCAGGAATGTAAAATCCCAGCACACAATTGATCGTATTTCTTGAGATCATTGGACAGATACAGTTCTTATGGCTCGAGGTTACAGCTGCTATGGATCAGCAGAATAATTAGACATGTTCCAATTCTTATCTCCACAGTACAAACGCGTCCTTCATACAGTTAACAATCTAGTTTTGTGTAACTACTCAAAGCCGTTCACACTCAATAAATATAGCTCACCACCTCCCTGTCATTCGTTGCCATCTCAACGTTGTACCGCAGTGCCAAGGTGTGAAAACGTCGGATGTGATCTGGGTGGGGCTGGTGCAACTACCTTTTGTACATGTGGAAACAGGACCCTGTTTTAACGTGAGGTCCCTTGCCTAAAACATCTGGTCGTTCACCAGCAATGATTCAAGCAAGCCTGACTGCTGGCGAGACACTGTTAGTCAAAAGCGTTCGAGAGTTTACCTTTACTGAATCGATGCTGCTGAAATGGTGCACTCCCAGATGGCAGTGGGGCCTGGTGGGTTACGTAAGATATACTTTTATATTTTACGTGGAGAGACAGATATAAGAAGGAGACACATCGTCTGACCAGCTCGCTATTCAGTCGCATGGCCGTGTGCGCTTGTGCTGCTCTGCACACTTCCATCGCGACCGCCACGGCGCGGGGATTGTGTGCGCGGTCGACGCTTTTGCGCACACACAGCCCTTGACCTCGGTGACTTACAAAATAATTTTGCCGTTGTGGTCTCTCGCATCCGCTTGTGCAGCCGCTCCACGACTTGCTGAGCCAGTCATCAGACAGAGCCGACGAGGAGGAGATCGTCCTGGCCCTCAAGGCATTGGGCAACGCCGGGCAACCCAGCAGCCTCAAGAAGATCCAGAGGTTCCTGCCGGGGCAGGGCAAGTCCCTGGACGAGTACTCGACTCGGGTGCAGGCCGAGGCCATCATGGCCCTGAGAAACATCGCCAAGCGAGACCCGCGCAAGGTGAGCTCGCGCCCGCACCGAGCCACGGTGCAATGCACTGTGCCGTCCTGCACCCTCGACGCCGCGATGCGCTTGAAGATTATTCGGTGGCAAGTTGTTGAGCAGCAATCATCGCCTGCAAAATGCTAAATGCAAAAAAGAAACCTCGCCCAATACCCGTCTCTTGTTTCACCCGCAATAATTGCCGGTGTCCAATTGGCCATTTGTCGTTGTGCATTAAAAAAAATCGCAAAAATATTTTGACCAAATTTGGACACATCTGATCCGGTCTTCTTCAAGCAAGCAACTACGATGGGGACCTCAAGCCGTGACACAACGGTCACATGAGCGCCCGAGGTTGTGCGCTCATCCAGAGCGATCATTGTTCATCAAACACGGCGGTCATCAAACGGCCTGACGGGGCTTCTTTTCTCTCTCTCTCTCTGCCGTCGCTGTGCCAAGCAAGTTGTCACGGCTGGCCACTTTATAACCACACTTTCGTGATTTGCCCAAGCTTCATAAGTTAGACGTATTTAAAAAAGAAATGCATTATTTACATTCAGTGACTTGCTTATCATTTTCTCTATTTCGCATTACTATCGGGTTTTTTTGTCGGTGTTGTTTGCTGTTGTAACTTGCTGACCCGCCCATACTGGAACATCTGTTGGAAAAAAAAAGAAGAGCTTCATAGCTCATCGGATTCCTTCTGCAGTCTAAATTCTGATTCTGATTGCCAGTGACACAATTGCCCTAAAATTGCGCTCGCGTATCCCGGCGTTTATTGAAGTTCAAGCACACACACCCCCTCTATCCCTTGTCTCGAGATATTAATTCCTCTCGACACACTTCATTACCCTACATCGTCCGTGTGCTTGCTGGGTAATGAGAGCGATAGGTCGGCCTTAACGCGCTCAATAGCCCCAGCTGTTAAATGCAATCGGCGATGTTAAGGTAATCGTTTTCATTTTATTATTGCATCCATAAAACAGGATGTTATGTATAAGAGCATATTATGTAACGTTATCTGTATGTATTTCCAATTGAATATGTACATTTTTGGTGTTCTATCAGTGCACAGATACATGTTTTATTGACATTATTTGCCTCAATGACCTCGTCTAGTGGAAGTGACTATCAGCAATTGTAAGCACAAATAATCAATAATAACTCAACACGTGTGATCTGCCATGCGTTTATACATTTTTTTGATGCCCAGCGATACAGAAGCCATCTAAGAGCAAACTGCGACAAACAATTAAGACACCGGTGCACACAAACACACGCAACATCGAAGATGATATGTGGGGGGATTATTCCCTGTGGCTGATGATGGGTTCCCATTCAGTCTCAGGGTTAACATGTAATTCACGAGTGGCAGACTTTGGGCTCTCGTCACACACAACAAGCTCTTGCAACTGCGGCAATGACGAATCGAGTGCGCTATGTTCACACCATCACTTGCCTTTAATTAAATCATAGATTTGTATTCAGCGTTTGTTTGCAGCTGCGAGCAGAGTTCCCCCCCCCCCCCCCAAACTCCAGTTCTCGCGACCCACCACCACGCTATAATCTTCCTGCATTCCCCAGTTTAATCCTCATTCAGATACTAAATAAATACACGTAGAGCGTGCACGTGTTACACGTTGAGAGTGCAGCGGTGAGCTCGCTACGCTACGAACCTGCCGGCCCAAGTTCGATTCCTGCTCACAGCCAACACGTGACAATTATCTGAACCGGTCCTGCTGCCCCCCCCCCCCCCAATCCCCTAGGTCGACTCAACCTCAAATGAGTACCGAGTGTGGTGTGTGTAAATATACACCACTGGGGAGACAAAGGCGGCTGGGCGTGGTGTTGTCCACCCAAACTCTCGCGTGCCACGCCGGCCTTTATAGGTGCTCGCTAACAGCACTTAGCGCGTCACGTGGGACGTGATGAACAACCGTCAGGTCGCGTACGGCGCAGAACGAGTTAATTTGTGTTCCAATGTCAGCTGGTTGCTGCGGTTGCCGTGAGTCGTGAGCAACTGGAGTTTGAACAACACCCTGGGTTGAGCTAGCGCTATTAGGAGGCTGACCCATTAAGGCTCCCCACCCAAACATTCGTCGCGGTGGCACGGATGCGTCTCCGCTAACGCCACCCTCCCTGTTGCCGCCGCAAGGTGCAAGAGATCGTGCTGCCCATCTTCCTGAACGAGGCCATCAAGTCGGAGCTCCGGATCCGCTCTTGCATCGTCTTCTTCGAGTCGAAGCCGTCCGTGGCGCTGGTCAGCATGGTCGCCGTGCGCCTCCGTCGTGAGCCCAACCTGCAGGTGGCGAGTTTCGTCTACTCTCAAATGCGCTCGCTGTCCCGAAGCAGCAATCCCGAGTTCAGGGACGTGTGAGTAACGCCGCACAGCAGCCACCGCCACTACCACCACCACCACCATCAACAACAACAACATCAACGACAGCAACATTCGCATGCCTGTCAACCCCCCTTATCAGTGCCCTACCTTATTGCATACCAATTCAGAGTTCATTGGTCATCACGTGCCCCTTATAAATCTCAACGTTCATCCTACAAAGTTCCATTACAAAGGAGAAACACAAAAAACACATTATACTTTTTTGCCCGTATTTAACCGGCTGTACGCCGTACGGACCTGAAAACTCAATTTTCCAGTACAAGAATACGGCTAAACCGTATGGGTTGACAGCTGTGCATTCTCCACTATCACCACAGCGCCTGTGCCAGGCCAGGTGCACTTTGAGGTGTCGAAGGCTCTCGATCACACGTGACCTGCCGATCAACAGCGGTGTACTCAGTTATACTGTTTCGTGGACTGAGGCAGGTGAATTTATAAAATTCGTCCCTTGTTTCAACTGAATAATACCAGCGACCAGCGATTTCTGGATTGCAAGTCCAGTATGCTCATGTAATGATGCATCGTTTATTTATTTATTTATCAATTCTGGCAGTCACAATAAATGAATCGATTTGTGCCCAATAAGTCCCTGCACGATCCACCAATCCCACCTCCCAGCCGGTGGATTGCAGGCGTGCAGGCACCGTACCGGTCGTGAGAGACACGCCACATCACCATTCTAAAATTGGTTTCATTCGGGTCGTTAATCTGAATTGTGTTTCTCATCTGGTTTGGTTCATCCAGTGCCGCAGCCTGCAGCGTGGCCGTCAAGATGCTGGGCTCCAAGCTGGATCGCCTCGGAAGCCGCTACAGCAAGGCCGTGCACGTGGACACGTTTAATGGTCTGTAGAGCCGCCGTCACGCCTCACGCAGTCGCGTTATGTAGGAGTCGCCGCAGAGATGGGCAGCATCTTAATCGCATGTCATTCAAATTCTGTAATTTGATTACATGTCTGAGGTGGCTTGGGAAGGCCGTAATCCAGCAGTGGATTGATTACGGCCGATGATGATGATGATGATGAATTTCATCATCATTTGCAATTGGTATTTAAATTACACACTTCAAAATAATTGGGAATTTGTATCTACATTTCGTCACTCCGGTAAATTGGAACTCACGTTTGTGTTGCCCATCGCTGCCTGATGGAATGACCTACGCATGTGCAATGTCTTAGCTCTTGCTAGGGCCAAAATCAAATGTGCCCTGACTTAACCTGGTGGAAGGTACACATTCTAAGGGTAAATAGGGCATATTTCAAGAAACTGTGGGATTGAATGTAGGCTCATTTTGGGAAACTGCTGTATTACGTGAGTGGCAGCTGTAAAGTGTAAAAAAAGACTTACAATTCGTTTAAAAAATCAGTTAGTTAAAGTTTTGTATTAATTACCTGACTGCTGGATAGAATTCTAGTAGTTAAATTAATTGCTGATTCTACATGCCAGCATCGTTCAGTCACTTGCCAATCATTCATCATTCTCATAATTGTCATGCCTTGATACATCTGTCCATGTTAAGCACGTGTTCTATCAGATTAAGTGTTTCTTCTCATTCGTGCTGTGTTCAACTTCCATGTTTCAGGACCCATAATTTTTCCTTTCTTCATCCTGTACGAATTATAATGCCCTCTCATTATCTCTTTCCGGAGGTTCCTGAACCCTGCTCAATTTAAGAAAGTTTTGGATCATATCTGCTGTACTATCATTCGTGCTCTCTCTTGTTGACTTCCTTCAATCGTTATGGAAACTCCCTTCCATCGTCATTGTCTGTTTTCCTAAGTTTCTATAACTTTGCCAAATTCAAGAAATGTTTTCATTATTATCAGCCGTATTCATATTAACGCTCTCTGTTTGTTTGTATTTTAGGCTTTTGGGCTTGACCCCAAAAAACTGATAACACCGCATTATCCTAAGTAGAGCATAAACGACCACCATGAGCCTGCTGCTGCTGTTGGTGTTGCTATTTACCCTTTGGTTGTCGTACGGTTTCTGCTTTGCAGCGAGGACCATGGCCGGTGTCTCTGCTGACTACTTCAGGATCAACTCCCCATCCGGCCCTCTGCCTCGTGCTCTGGCAGCCAAGATCCGCGCCCAGGGCATGGGCTACGCTAGCGACATCGTGGAGGTGCGCGCGACGAAACTGACTCGGGCATTGTTACAGTGACGACGAGACAGCAGGGGGCGCTGCGCACGGTTTTTGCCATCGGACCGTTGAGAATGCATTGCCGTGCCTTGTTTGCGGGGCATCGTGCGCAATGAAATCTCATTAACGAGTAGATCTCAGTTTGACCTCTCATAGTGAGATATTTGCTTTAGTCCGCCAGCCAATGTTATTCACCGGTGTATGTTTATATAAGCAAACTCTATATCGGTTTTGACCTTCAGGGTCTCATCAGCAGTCATGCTTTCCGAAACAAATGCTGCTGCGTTGGCTGTTTTTTTTGTTTTGCTGAGTGGACATTCGTTTATTGGGTGCAATTCAATATACCACTAATTAGTCTCCAAAACCTTAATTGAAGTTCGCTGGTTGATATCCTTTATTTAACCAGGCTAATGCCTATTGAATTTCCTGCTTTTACGTAATTAAATTTACCCATGTCTCATTCACCCACGAGATGTGGGTAAATGTAATTACGGGAAGCTATTTTGAAAAAAAAAATTCTCTCGAGTTTCAAATTTGGGATTCGACCTTAGCCACCAGAACACATTTACATTTTATCAGAACACATTTACATTTTATCGCGACATCTTCGAGGGCCACTTCACAAGTGGGTCGTAAGCATTTCGGTAATTCCCCGCACAATAAATGATCACGTTCACTTTGCGCGTCGTCTCACCTTGACTCGACGCGCAGACCCAGACTGTTAATTGATTTGTGTCAGCAGCCTCGACCATTTTTTTTCTCTGCCCGTTCCTCACCCGTCCTGTGGGCCACCCAACTTTGTTTTGCGTTGCTCCTCTGCCACCCTCCCGCCCATCCGCCCTTGCAGTTTGGACTGCGCGCCGAAGGTCTCCAGGAGCTGCTGTACAGGGGAAGCCAGGAGCAGGACGCCTACGGCACGGCCATGGACAGGCAGACTGTGCTGCGTAGCGGCCAAGCCACGAGCCACGTGTCCAGCATCCACGACACCCTGCGCAAGGCAAGACGCGAGAGCGGCGGTCTCGGACGGCGCACGCCGCGCCACGGACCTCGCGGAGCGTGCGGCCGCGCCGAGTCGAACGAGAACCGTGTGATGCGCTAACGAACCAAAAAAGTAGTCCCGTTGCGCGACATCTGCCCGGGCATGTAAATGATACATCGTCGTCGATGATGGTGATGCTGATGCATCGATTCACAACATGAGCGGAACATTTTTTATTTAGATTTATGCATATGATGTGCACGTTATGTGTGCAATTAGGCTAATGTAGCAATGTAAAGCAAATAGCTGATGATTCGAAAGAGACAGGCAGGATTGATTTCAGGGACAGTCCAAAAAAAGATAGAACAAAGGAATACAGATCAAATAAAATAAAGATAGTGGACATAAAATACAATCATGGACAATACAAATGAGATGATAAAAATGAGACAGTAAACACGACAACAGTAAAGAATAAATTCGTCAATTGAATAATCGACCTCCAAGTTTTGACACTTTGTAAAAATTCCTAGGTCGGGGTTGATGATGAAATCGTGACGTAACCTAAATGCAAAACAATTCCAACGCGTTTCCTTCCTCATGCCTCTGTCTGTGCGTGCCGGGCAGCTGTCGGACTGGAAGTCGGTCCCTGAAGAGAGGCCGCTTGCCTCAGGGTACATGAAGGTGCATGGGCAGGAGGTGGTGTTTGCAGAGCTTGACAAGAAAATGATGCAGCGAATCTCACAGGCAAGTGCTGAGTGCTCTTCCTGTACGTTGTATGTTGAACTTATTTCTCACCGTACGTAGCTAACCATGCTGATCGGAGGTACGGGGGAAGGCCAACAAACTAAACACAAAAATATACCATACGATATGTGTCCGATGGCTTCGCTGCATGGTTTAGGGTATGTCACGTATAAATACAGCACGCAATCAATACCATCGGGCAGCGATGCATATGCTTGCTAAACGGAAAACGTAAAAAAAAAAGTTAATCCTATTGCTCAGTGATCCTTACCCGGTTAAATAAAAAAAAAATCAGTTTCAATCGTTAATTTTTTTTCCTTTTTAAAATATTTAACCACCGTTATCGACCTGTGAGTGGAACTCGAGTTCGTGGCGCGCTATAACCGCCGCCCGGCGAAAACCGGTGCCCCTGCAGATGTGGCACAGTGCACGTTCGCATCACACGGCGGCGCAGGAGCAGATCCGCGCGGTCGTGAGCAAGCTGGAGCAGGGCATGGACGTGCTCATCACCAAGGGCTACATCGTGTCCGAAGTTCGCTACATGCAGCCCGTGTGCATCGGCATCGCCATGGACCTCAACCTCCTGGTCTCCGGAGTGACCACCAACCGCGCCAACCGTACGTCACCACCGTCACCCCCCCCGCCGCCTTCCCCCCCGTTCATGTCGTTGACGTCGCAGCTGGAACGATGAATCAGAATATTTGCAATCTGATGAGCTACGAAGCGCTTTTTCACAGATGTCATCCAGTAGTTTTCACAGATCTCCAGATGAGACACTAGATGGGAACTTGTATGGCATTGCAGAACCATTAGGGATGGCGATGACATGGATAATCCTTCATCCGACAATGGATAGAGCATGGTTGATGCTGCTGACGACAATGATGATGACTGGGCACAATTCTAAAACAAAATTGGGGGGTGTATGCGACACAGGCTGGCTCAGAAGTGATGAGTTGCATCTCCCCTGTGCACAGTTCACGCAAGCTTCTCGCAATCGCTGCCCGCGGACATGAAGCTCGCAGATCTCCTCGCCACCAACATCGAGCTGCACGTGGCCGCAACTACCAGGTATGCACTTGACGTGCAACCCCCCCCCCCCCCCCGACCTATCTTACCCCCAAGTTGCGCATCGTCATTCAAATTGTTCGAGTGACTCGGAGGTCAGAAATCCTGAGCCGGCACGGCTGAGATTCTGGGTTCAAATCAAGGCCGCTAACTATGTTTTAAACCGAGTTCTCAAGTGTAGTAAGTTGATAGCCCCTGCCCGCTTTCCAATGAACGGCACATAAAAAAAGGCATCATGTTATAAAATAAAATAAGCCATCACGCTTTCACTGTCATTCGATAAACATGACTCTAATATGCAGAGCTATTAGGAAAGTGCCGCCCTCTACTGCGTGAATCAGCGGTCGCGTGAAGGGGTCTCAAAGGTAGCAATGTTATCTCGACTTCGGTGGGCAATTCTCTAACACGATGCATTGCTCTGCTGACGCCGACAGCACAACAGAAATATGATCGACAAAACATGACAAATGCCAGTCCTGAATTCCCCCAGCAATGACCAACAAGTTCTCACGTTCCTTCTCTCCTCACTTGACAGCATCTCCAAGCATGCCGTGGCTATCATGGGACTCACCACGGATCTGGCCAAAGCCGGGATGCAGACCCACTACAAGCTGAGCGCAGGCCTCGGAGTCAACGGCAAGATTGAGATGAACGCCAGGGAGAGCAACTTCAAGGCGTCAATGAAGCCCTTCCAGCAGAAGACCGTCGTGATGCTATCAACGTGAGATTCGTTCGTGGGACAGAATAATATGAAACCTTCAAAACTTGCCAGCATGCACCTCGATGCCCGTTGAAAAAGTCTCCGTCACCACTCCAAATCTAGACAAAGCCAAACCAGATCTCGCAGTCTAAAACTAGCCTAAGTCTGACCCAAGCGTAAGTTCGAATCTAGCCAAATTGAAACCCTAGCCTAACTATATCCTAAATCAAACTATTGCCTCGGACTAATGCTCGCCTTATTGTAACCCTACCCGAATTCTAACCCTGGTCAAAAGTCAAAATCCAGCCAATGCCTCCACCCCATCTTAACCCAAGTCTAGCCTAACTCTAGCTTACACGTATATTCAAAGCCAAAGCATAAGCCCTCAAGAATGCTAAAGAGGAGTGTCTTTGCCCCGTTCGTGTGTGCAGCATGGAATCCATTGTGTTCGTGAGAGACCCCTCTGGCAGCCGTATCTTGCCCGTGCTGCCCCCGAAGATGACCTTAGACAAGGGACTTACATCCCAGCAGCAGCAGCAGCCACACCATCAGCAACAACCACACCAGAACGGCCAGCACCAGGCCAGAGCGGTAAGTGAACCAACATGGGCAGCCAACACCACTTATGAACTATTACGTGAATAACGATGTGCATTTGTACGATGCCTCCATTCTTCGGCAACTCTAGAAGCCTTAAATCTCAATCGTCATCATCATCATCATCTAATAATTTCAACGCCCAGCTAATGTTTTAGCCTAGGGGACACCCTAAAGCAAACTGTCCCTGTGCGGCCAAAGGTGAATGTAGCACGGCGCTGCATGTGTGAATTAGTCTGTCAGTAGTGGGTCATAGTTCATAGTCTTGAACTATGACCTAAACAAAGGCGCAAGCCAATACACATATCAGTAACGTGTTGTGGATAGTGCACAGACCTAAGGTGTGCGTGGCTTAGGCCTTCCAAGATCAGTTTAAAGCTTCGTGAATGAAAATATATTCTTGAAAAAAACACATTGGACAAATTCCAATGTTACTACTGCAGTGGCATTAAATGTTTTTTTTAGAAAGGTGATGCTGCATTGATGTGGCTATTTCGTACCTCGTGTGATTTTGAAGTCTTTTTCTTTTCATTTCATGAGCAAAGCTTCAAACGTGTGACAGCCTCACGACACATCCACAGCTTAAGGCTCAACTACACGTAGAGTGGCCGGGATATATGAATACTTATAACAAGAAGTTCACTCATCAGAAAAGCTCATGAGTTTGAAAAGTGAACAGTTCATGGCCATCTGAATTCTCACCTCCCCCCCCACCACCTTCCCCCGTTGCAATGGGCTTAAGTAGGCACGAGCTGTTTGCTTTCTAGAGTTTAACCTTCGAGGAATAACTTTTCCATCGAGTGTGCGGACGAGCGATTTGGCCACATTCCAGCGTTTTTTTTTAAAAGCACACGGTTTGTGAGTGCCAGCGGGCCAAACACCCCCCCCCCCCCCCAAGTTAAACGTGCGGACAGCTAGACGTGCGAATCGCTTCCTTTTTCATGGAAAGGTAGAGAGAGAGTCCAACACGGAGGCTTTCACGACCGATATTGTCCATGATTGAGGATTTTTTGGGTAAGATTGCGTAAATATAAACGCGTCGTTAAAACCCGCCACCACCCAACACAGCCCATTAACAAGGTTTGTAACGTGAACAAAACGTGCAAATTCATCACTAGTAATCCCGCGGCATTTACAATTCGAGTACGATGTTTCGCCAGTAATTACAATCAGTATCATCAGGCGACAGCCAGATTTGTGGAGAAATCCTCCCAAAAACCTGTGCTATGGGGAGAGACCGATCCGAGTCTTTTTTTGCAACTTCGAATTAAGTAACCGGCAAATGCGCCACGAGTGTGATTATCCTCATAGCTAATCAGCATTTTTTTTACGTGCGTAAAGTTAGTGCTCTTTCAGCTTCTTTGTTCATTAATGGAATGAAATTATGATTATGAATACCCTGACTCTTGCCCTTAAGCTTCAATAAGCTGCAATTAACACTGAATTGGAGTGCGTACTTCGACTCTCAAGTACTGCCTGCATCGGGCTTCCATTAAACGCTCATTACTATTGCAAACGCACCACGCACCGCGGTGCATGGTGCGGTGAGTGCTGCGCTATGCGGAGCAGAAACGGTGGTCCATGCGCCTCCCCTCCATCCCGCTGTTTTGCGTTTAGAAACATTGTCCGGAAACATTGTTCGTAAGCATTGTTCGGGGCTACGTTTTGGGCAGCAGGGTCAGGGTGGCAAGGTCTATTGCTGCACGATATTCCTATGCCCCAAATGATACGCTGCCTACCTTCACCAGCTGGCACTGACCAGAGTGGCGAAATTTGGCCATACGATCTCACACAGCTTTGGGGCAGTGCCCATCCAGCAGTGCATTGTTGATACATTTATTCATTCATTGAAGTATCCTGTACGCTCTGTATTTCGTGTTTTCAGGCTCTTTAACATTATTATTTTTTTACCATCTCTCTGGTGACAATTGCATAGTAGATATATTTGGGCCTAAGTAGCTACTTATCAGATATGATAGTACACATTTATATCTCTTTTTGCAGGCTTTTAGTGTCTCATAAATTTACAATAATAATCATAACTTCCAGACCGTCCATCGACTGCTGGATGAAGGTCGCCGCAGTCAGTCATGGGGATCTTTGACCACACTCTATCAGATTGGTCAGTGTGAATTGGCAAAAGGGGGGCTGGGAAGGGCCCAGAACAGGTCGAGATATCGTCGCCACTGCTGCTGGACAGTGTGCATTCAGATGCCAAGATATGTACACGAACGCAAGGTGGGTGTCAGCGATGCCTCCATCGCCCCAAAAGTGTGAGACATGTAACCGATGTACGGAACGACACTCTCTCCCCCCCCCGTCCTCGCCCACCGCCAGGCCTACCAACGCCCATGGGCTTCCCACGAGTTCTCGTCAGCCGAGCAGAAGCAGATCCACAACATCATGACGGCGCGCCCCGTGATGCGCAGGAAGCAGCACTGCTCCAAGTCGGCGGCGCTCTCCACCAAGGTGTGCTTCTCCGCCCGGCTCCGCAACGCCGCGTTCATCCGCAACGCGCTGCTCTACAGGATCACCGGAGACTACGTCAGCAAGGTCTACGTCCAGCCCAGTGAGTGCACGCACGCGCTCCCCCAACGGCCACTTTCGTGCGGCTCACAATCACACTCGGAATAATAATAATAATCACATTGATGATAGTAAGGCGTGTTATATTCGGGTTGCGATGAACGCGTAGACTTCATGGGCTGCAGTCCAGAGCCTCGGATGTCGAAGCACAAAAGCGAGTCTCGGGAACGTGCTGCTGCTGCTGCTGCGTGCGTTGTGGTCCGTGCCTCTTTACAGCGAGCAGCAAGGCTCAGATCCAAAAGGTGGAGTTCGAGTTGCAAGCCGGACCCCAGGCGGCTCAAAAGGTCATCCGCATGGTGGAACTGGTGAGCGCCGTGCAGGCAGACAGAAAGACAAGCGAGCATGTCTCACGGGAGACGGATGAATTACGAGCAGGTTACCTGGTCTTCGTACACTTTAGTGTGCGTCGGATTAACGAAGAGGGTTAATGGGGTTTGTGCGTTGAAATAATTCATTACACACACACACGCGAATATTGTCTCATTTGATGCATGTGTTACAACTTTCACAGAACTTCACGAGAGGTTAGCCGCCGAGGAGGACTTTCATCCAGCGCTGGATTGGTTGTGCCTGCTGATTATGATTATGTTGATGCTAATAACAATAATCTTCAAAGTTTTAATAAAAAAAAGTGTGAATTTTGATTGGCACAGCGTCTAAATGTGACCGCATATCATGACGCTGTATAAAAACAGTCAAAAGAAACGGATTAACATATTTATCTCGCAACAATTTGAGAGCTACGCACGTCTGTTGTAGAGTAACAACATACCATGTTGTCCTGGCTCTGTCTCACGCTCAGGTGGCCAAGGCAAGCAAGAAGTCAAAGAAAAACTCCACCATTGCGGAGGAGGGTGTTGGAGAAACGATCATCTCTCAGCTCAAGAAGATCCTCATCAGTGACAAAGTAAGGGGCCCCCCCACATCGAGGAGCCTATCCGATGTATCCTCTCCCAGTGTCATTCATATTTCATGCAATCCGTCTTGGCTACAGAGGCACCGTCACCTTCTGGCCAGTTCTCGCAGCCCAACACTGGGTTTGGCAGATTTTTACAAACGTCGACGTGATCCACCTACCCCCGAGCCTTTAAAAGCGCTGTATGTACAGGCGCGCGCCATCGCTTGGTGATTCCGCGTTCAAAACGAACACCGAGCAGCACACTTTTATTTTATTTCCTTGCCATATTTCTCATTTTCTTCATGAAAGCCACTCACTTTTATTGAGCACATCAACTTTTGATTAATTTCGGGGTCAAAATAATACTTTTTCCACCTTTTGAGCGCAAATTAAAGCGTGCGCATTGGAAAGCTTTTTTTTCTTACCTAATTTTCTTTTTAAGTCATGCCCGTGGCCTGTGTGGCGATTTTGCGTGGAGACTTAAACATTTCCATGGAGGAGCACAGCCGCTCCACCTGCACTGGCCTTTTGGCAGAGGTGCCGTCACCGGCACATGTCTTTGGAGCGGTCTGTCGGAGCTCCTGAGTCGCAGCTGTCATTCAAAGTCTCGATCAAAGCTGCTAAGTCGCCACGAGTGACTCTACATCTGTCTCATACTCTGATGGACTCGTATTTTGATGTTTGTGTCGTTTGCTCAGCGCCCTTGTAATAGCTTGTCATGCTATGGCACTGCAGAATTTGTTGCTATTATTATTTTTATGACACCCAATGTTGCACCGCTTACTTCTCCAGTCACTGCACACCTATGACTTTAGATTGACTTTCAGACACACTGATGCTGCGCTGTTTCTCCAATTTCCAACACCTCGTAGGACAAGGATGCTAAAAAAACACCCGGTTCTTCGTCGTCATCTTCATCGTCGTCATCGTCGTCGTCGTCGTCCTCATCATCATCAGATAAGCGCGGCAAAAAGAATCCGCGCCAGGGCAGCACCGTGAACCTGGCTGCCAAGGGGGCCTCCAAGAAGCAGCGCGGAAAGCAATCCAGCAGCTCGTCGTCCAGCTCGTCCAGCTCGTCGGACAGCTCCAAGTCGCCCCACAAGCACGGCGGGGCAAAGAGGCACCACGCCGGACACGGCGCCCCGCACCTGGGACCCCAGTCGCATTCCTCGTCCAGCAGCAGCAGCAGTAGCAGCAGTAGCAGCAGCAGCAGCAGCAGCAAGCCGTTCAGCACCGTCAAGCCGCCCATGACCAGGAAGCCCCGTCCCGCCCGCAGCTCGAGTTCCAGCTCCAGCTCCAGCTCCGACTCCAGCTCAAGCTCCAGCTCCAGCTCCAGCTCAAGCTCCAGCAGTAGCAGCAGTAGCAGCAGCAGCGAGAGCAAGAGCCTCGAGTGGCTTGCGGTCAAGGTGCGCGCGCATCTCGCAGTGATGGGTGTTTGGAAGGATTTTTGGGTTCGGCCATGTAATGATATGGCCACTTTTGTTGTTGTGAAGCCCTCCACCAACCAACACACTCGAACAACTTAAACTGCCACGTGTGCAATTGTTAATGCGGCGAATGTTATTGTTCGAGCTCTGTGTTAAGTCGGAAGGGGTTCGCCGCGAGACCGAATCCACAAATCTATTGTCTGTGGTATTGTCTGCAAAAAAATCGACATGTTTTCGGGCAAGGATGCGATATTCCCGGTGTGGCGTGTGCTCGCTCCGGCCGTTCTCGTGCTCTTGCTGCACAATTGTGAGCTTGGTGCGAGAAACGCAGCCGACTGCCAAAATGAAATGTGTGCATATTTGCCTAACGCATTGAGCGACTGAATAACGCCCTCCTTATAATTTGTAGGACGTGAACCAGAGCGCATTCTACAACTTCAAATACGTCCCCCACAAGAAGCCCCAGGTATGACACAAACAAAGCCTAGCAGGGTCTCACTGCAATAAGGGATGTTGGTGATTTACACTCTGTACCGCAAAGTGCTTCCCGTTGTCGCTGAACACAAGGAATATTGATCGAGTCTGCAACTGGATCGCTGTGTGCATGCAGACTTCCCGCAGACACACTCCTGCCAGCAGCAGCAGCAGTAGCAGCAGCAGCAGCAGCTCCTCTTCCAGTGACAGCGACATGACTGTCAGCGCCGAATCGTTTGAGGTGCCTTCACGATGTGCACCACACACACACGAGAATGCGCGCGTGAACGCTGCATAAAAAAACGGTGCGCGGACGTGCGGTCAGTTCGCACTCTAAATAAGTCGCCTTAAATAGTAAGCGACAAGGTGTGGCACATTGTGAGATGTTGTCAGCTTGCAGGCTTTCCTGTGATGTCTCGCCACATATTAGGTCTTGGCTCCTCATCATCCCAAACTGTGCCACTGCCACGCGAGAACAATACGTGCGCAATTCTGTTGTACTATTCCCGTGTTTGATCAATAATGATTATAATTACAAAAAGCTTCCAATGCGTGATCACTGCCAGAATGCGTTAACACATCGGCAAGACATTTCAGGAGCTACATGTTACTAATTATGTTATTTTGTTAGCAAGTAGATAAATAATACTTCTTATACCATACATGCACACTGGACTTGCCATTCACCCGGTGCAGCAGTTGAAACAACGTGGGCGAGTTTATGCAATACCTTTGTCCACACAGCAGCATGAATGGGTTCACCACGGTTGATCAGCACATAGGTGTCAGGTACCATCTCGAGAGGGATCTCCAGTGCCCCCCCCCATCCCCGTAGAGCAGGCCCTTCCACTCACGGTGGCATGGCATGCGTAAGTAATTGCAGGGGCTGCGCCTCTACACGTTACAGCAATTAGCGGCAAGCACAGAGAGAGTGCCCTCGCTCAGCAAACACTAATGAGCCCCGTTCTGTGTTTTTTTCTCTCTCTCTCTCTCCTCTCGTTTCTCGTGTGACCGTGCTGACCGCAAACCGCAGAAGCACTCGAAGCCGAAGGTGGTGATCGTGCTGCGTGCGGTTCGCGCCGACGGCAAGCAGCAGGGCCTGCAGACGACCTTGTACTACGGCCTCACGTCCAACGGGCTGCCCAAGGCAAAGATCGTTACCGTCGAGCTCAGCTATCTCAGCGTGTGGAAGCTGTGCGCCAAGTTCCGCTTGTCCGCCCACATCAAGGCAAAGGTAACGTGTGCGCGCGTGTCTGTCGCTGTGCGTGATGCCTGTACGGGGGAGTGACGGTGCAGTGGTTGGCGCACTGCGCTTAGGAATGCCGGCGATCTGAGTTTGTTTTTCGCTTCATGGCCAACATCGGTGACGAATATCTGAACTGGTCCTGGGCCTAGCTTCGGTCGACGCAGCTTCAAGTGAGTACCTGGTGCGGTGTGTGAACATCGGCGCAAGGGAGGCAAAGGTGGCCGGGTGTGGCGTTTGCCGACCCACCCCCAACAGCCTGTGTAGGCTTCACAGGGCATCGTTACGTATATTTGATATAGTAAAATAACACGTCTGTATATATATTCAGCACTTTGTTAATTGACATCTGGATAAAGGCCTCTCCATCCTGTGTCAGTCATGATTGCATGACCACATTTGACCACACCCAAGTTAGTTCATTAAAAAAAAACCCTCAAAGTCATTCCCAGCTCCAAATTAGCACGGGGTGGCGGCATTAATCTGCTGTCTGCGGCCCTGAGCCAGTATCACGAGGAGTACCGTTGGAAACGAGTGCCTTTGGATCAGTGCGAGCGGGGCGGACAATGCCCTCTATGCTACCTAACATAGCTAGTTAATAACAAACAAAACATTACCATGAGGGTCACAAACCCTGGGCTTTGCAGCACCAGTAACGCACGCGCGCCTGCGCCTTGCTTGCGCTTGTGCGTCTTGTGTGCAGGCTACAATCGGCTGGGGAAAGAACTGCCAGCAGTACCGCGCCATGCTGGAGGCGTCGACTGGCAACCTCCAGTCACACCCTGCCGCCCGTGTGGATATGAAGTGGGGCCGCCTGCCCAGCTCCTGGCAGAGAGCGAAGAACGCACTGTGAGTGCAGCCGACACGCGGGCCAACAACAGCCGCGTAGCTCTCGCCCTTCTCCCCCTCAGGAGCTCCACGACCTCCCAGCACGTGGAGCAAAAACGTCGGACATCGTGCCAAACGACGGCGGCGCAAACCGAAAACGCATCTGAGAGCCGCGCAGCACAACCGGGAAAACGCTACGAAGCAAAGCCTGTCTAGTGCTGTATACATTAAATGGGACCTCATGCCTAACATCATGCTCAGACTTTGTAATTCAATTGATCGACCATTTAAACACGAAAGCCTCTATCGATAATGTTAAAAAAATAAAGTGAAAAAAGTCAAAGTGGTTTTCCGCTCCGTTCAGATCAGGGCATCGTTGATTTCATTTGAAATCCCTAAGCCAGTGGTGTAAATTCCACATGCCTTTAGCAGGGGTGAGTCTTTCCATAGGACAACCACTGTTGTCTTCCCCGCAAAGTGGTACTCAATTCATTGCACCTCAAGAGGGATGTCTCCTGCAGGCCTTGTGACTGTGACCCACATCGTCTTCCACTGAGCCGCCGGGCCGGATATAATAATGGTACACTCCGCACCTAATACAGTTCTCGTTGACCTGTAGGTGAAGGCTTGTGTTTGTTCAGGCAGACAAGCTGTTCGTCACAACCACTACGCTGCTGCGGACATCCCTGTTTAATTCGTGATGAGGCTAACTGAGAACGGCCGCATGTATTTTCAGGCTCGAGAACAAAGCCCCTGTGATTGCCTCCGAGCTGGAGATGGAAATCATGCCAAAGAAGAACCAGAAACATCAAGTCTCTGTCATCTTCGCAGCCATGACCCCCAGGAGAATGAATATCATCGTGAAACTCCCCAAGGTAGGATTTTAAATAAAAGCATCAAAACTAAATCATCGCGCCTCTTTTAGATGTTGGTTACAATACCCCTGAAACCAAACCGGAAGAGTCTTGAGGTGGGTGACTTTCATGACAATTGATGTCCTTGGGCAAGGGCCTTTCAAGAACCTTGTGAGAATTGAATGGGAGCCTTGAGTTGAGAGACAACAGAGGAACGAGGAAACAGGTGGTGGGAGTGGGTGCCCGTGTGCTCGGGGCCACTGCCATTTATGTTCCATCTCAGTTAAGTTCTGGCAATCTGTGGGTTTACAAACATGGGGTTTTTTTTTGTGATTTGGCAATGTTACGTAACACATTTACATGTTAATATATGTGTCATCGTTGTCCTTAATCATCAACAGCAGCAGCCATGATCTCTCCACTGCTGAACGAAGGCTTCCTTTAAACGCTAGCCATTCCTCGTGGTCACGTGATGTAACGATCCATCTAGCTCCGAGCCGGGGGCATACTCATAGCGACCAACAGCGAAGGATCGAGGGGAAATTACAAAATAATGTTTGCCCTGTTAATGAAGAGCTATTTAGAAAGCCAAAGATGCTTTGCGTCGGTGTTTGCGAGGCTATGACATTTCCGCTCATCGCTTTTTTGTTGTCTTTTCCCAACAGGTCACTTATTACCAGCAAGGCATTTTGTTGCCGTTCACCTTCCCCTCACCAAGGTTCTGGGATCGTCCCGAAGGATCCCAATCCGAGAGTCTTCCAGCTCAGATCGCCAGCGCCTTCTCAGGCATCGTCCAAGACCCCGTCGCCTGTGAGGACTGCTTTAGGAATATACACCGTTGTTATGATAGTCCTCCTGCGTAGGTTTTGGGAGTTGTGCGACGTTGCTCTCTGAAATGTTTTTTTCAGATTGCACCACGTGTGGTTCGTATGTATGTCCGTATGTTGAACTTTTTCACACCGTATGTAGCCAACCGTGCCAATCGGATGTGTGGGTTCAACACGATATCCGACATTTTGCTCCACCTACTGCGAGCTTCTTCAGGAACGTGGAGCAAAACGTCAGACAGCTGTAGAACACATGGTACAAACCAACAACATAGCAGAGAGCTAAAAGTAATATTACTTTTTTTGTCCTTCAATTATCCAGTAAAAACGTTTTTTAAAGAATATTTCGTCCAAATTTCGATTTGCACCCAAACAGCCCGAACCACGTCACATCATCTGCAGCGACAGTTGCGACTGACTGTACACAGATCGTGTAACGTGACGTTTTGTTTTTTTTTCCCTCTGATGTGTCAATGTCTTGTAGCTGTGTGCGAGCTGAATGAACAATCCCTGACCACGTTTAACGGCGCCTTCTTCAACTATGACATGCCCGAGAGTTGCTACCACGTGCTCGCGCAGGAATGCAGTTCCAGGCCTCGTTTCATCGTTCTAATCAAACTCGACTCCGAAAGACGTATCTCTCTTGAGCTCCAGCTCGATGACAAGTATGTAAACCAGCCACGACCACGCTTGTGTACTTAAATGCGTTTAATGCAATGCACCGTGTAACAATTAACACGAATAGTAATGTTGTTAAATGTTTACTCAGAACATCCTCACCGAGTCGTAAAGACTCATTTTTTTCAGGATGATGCATTGTATTCTCAATTCCCATTCATGAGAGTTTGGCTTCACGTGGGAGGAAACCGGAGAGAACCCCCACAAAGAATATGAAAGGGGTGACGCTTGCCGCTGCCACCTCTAGGCGGCACATCGCAGCCCCATGCCCCGTAACCCCTGGCAAGTCCTCGTGGTCACCCCATCCAACAATCACTGACCAAGCTGAACCCTAACCAAGCTTCCAAGATACAGAGGGAAGATTGCTTACGGGAATCCCTTTAGCTGTGCCACACGTGTCAGTGTGCACCTATATACTGAGGTATTCTGCTGGTGATTGTTGGGCCTTGGTTATTATTTCGTTACAGAAAGGTGAAGATTGCGAGCAGGAACGACATCAGAGTCGATGGTGAAAAGGTGCCCTTGCGCCGTCTTTCCCAAAAAAATCAATACGGTGAGACAACACTCACACACAACTTTTTTGTACTGTCACGCGATCCACGTGTTTCTGCTGATTATTTAAAATATACATACTAAATGCAATGTCAATATCACAATCAACACAAACAACGGAGGTGGTCACTTTAAAAGCAATGGATACATTAAGCTGTTAAATCATCTTATGAATACAGCATTACTCTACTCTTAAACTTAGTGGTGCTCAAGGTACGACATATGTGCATTTTTCGTCAGGTTTTCTGGTTCTGGATGACGGAGTGCACCTGCTGCTCAAGTATAAGGATCTGAGAGTGTCGTTCAACTCCTCATCCGTTCAGGTGAGAATGACAGTACTCTCCAGTCGCATTCACGTGAGCCCTCGGCCATATGCAGACGAGGCGGAATGAATGGGGACTCGTCTTAGTGGGTGCATTAGACGTGCAGAGACACACAGCGTGTGGGCCCCCACAGTCTGGAATGGCCCTTCCTTCACCCCCTGCCATCTGTGCTGTCATCTATCTGCCCTATGACTCGTCTCTTCATAAAAAAAAGTAAATGTCCACTATATCTCTACAAAGTCTTCAGATACAGTCACGTTCAAAAGGCTGAATCTACATTCCGTTATGAGTTTAATACCTGCGGATTTGAATGGTTGGCAGTGCCTCGGCTAAACATGGCTTCAGCATGGTTCCACATCCTACCACCCACATGGCTCCCATTCATGCGAGCACACACATGCATCCATGCACATGTAAACACACATCAATCTAATGTATCCAACCCTATAATCCCTCACTTAAACCACCGCTCCATGCACTTAGTACCACATTACAAAAAAATCCGTATGCAAGACTTACCAGCTATGGGCACTAGAGGGCGTCGCATGGTAAGTTCCATACATCTACACCCACAACAGATATAATAATAGAGTTAACGCAGTTCTTGAATTGAGATAGGTAATGAGACATTCATCGCGGGCAGTCGGGACGTAGATTCCAATGCAGGATCTGAGCGGTTGCCGGCTCAGCACTCTGCCAGCTGAGCCAGTTTATGTTCAGCACCCTTGGCAAATGCAATCACCGTGAGCCGATTAACCAAGACAGCCGCGTGTGTGGGGTGGTGGTGGTGGTGGTGGCGTGGTAGGTGTGGGTGCCGTCGTCGCTGAAGGGACAAACGTGTGGTCTGTGCGGCCGCAACGACGACGAGCTGGTGACTGAGATGCGCATGCCCAACTTGGAAGTGGCTAAAGACTTCACAAGCTTTGCGCACTCCTGGATTGCACCGGACGAGACCTGCGGTGGTGGTATGTGGCCTGTCCATCTCACACTTGCACACTAATAACCAGTCGATGGAAGTAATAATGAATAAATAATGCCATTTATTTACCCAGGAATGCTTCGCTGAGTCTTAAGTGGGTTTTTTTTCTCAGAAAGGGGCCTGGAAATTGGGATGATGGGCCAATTTCATTCACCAGTGTCTGCATGTGGGAGGAAACTAGTAGCCGGAGAAAAGCCATGATTAGGAGCGGGTAACACTCAATGCTCCTTCCAAATGGATTCGATAATCCATTGCTGTATAACCATCTCATTGTCACCTCACAGCAAAGGTCTACAACACTGGGTAGTCCGAGGCAGTCAAGTACTAACCAGGCACCATCCTGCTTAGATACTGATGAAATCGGGCACATTCATGGCGATTTGGTCATCGGCAAAAGTAAAGATTAAACTATCACCAGTTGATAATGTTACATCTGGAGGTGATGCGAAATTGGTCTCCAACATGGACCATATTAATGTGGCAATGCCATCTCTGGCTTCAGACCACCAGCTAGAGATGAGTACAAGCAAATGCTCGAGTAGCGTTCGATTCCCGCTCACGGCCAACGCCAGTGGCGAATATCTGATCCGGTCCTGAGCCTCCCCTAGGTCGACTCGGCCTCAAACGAGTAACCGGTACAATGTGTAAACATGGCCGCTCTACGCGCTCGCACGCAGCACTTGACTCCCGACTGTCCGCATAAAATCAACGTGGGGGGGGGGGGATCTTCATCTTTGTCTCTGTGTGTGCTCTCGTGTGTGCCGACACTGCGCATCAGCCTGCGCCCTGAGCCGGCAGACAGTGCACAAGGAGAGCACCTCCGTCATCACCGGGTCCCGCGAGAACTGCTACTCCACCGAGCCCATCATGCGCTGCCCTGCCACCTGCTCAGCCTCCCGCTCCGTGCCAGTCTCTGTGGCCATGCACTGCCTGCCAGCCGGTGAGTAGCAGCTCCTCCCCGCCCCCATCAACCATCATCATCATGATTAGCCATGGTCAATCCGCTGTTGGATGAAGGCTTCCCCAAAACTGCTGCCACCTCTCAAAAATCCTGAGATGCAACAATTCCACCGTCAACACAAAAAAAACGTGATGACAACTATCAGCCCATCAGGCCAGCATGACATGGTGAAAGAGACGGAGACAAGAGCTATAGATGTAGTGAGATAAAAAAAAGAATATAGACAAAAATAGAGATGTACTGAAATGGGTGAAGGGAGATGCAAACGAGATAGTGATGAGGGAAGTTGATTGGCTTTTTGATATTAGGTTTGTAATGTTTGCTTGAATATGAATTTGAGATATTGATGCAGAGCTATTTTTTTAATGAATCTGAGGACACCTTGAGCTTCGGCTGCATGAGGCCCAAAGCTTATGACCAGCACCGCCACTGGATATAACTACAGAGACTCTTGGAGAGCAAATGGTGTTTGATGAGCACATATTAAGCTCAGCTCGCCAGTGCATGAAGAGTGGTTTTCACCAACTCCACATCTGGCCACCTTTGACTCCCCATAGCTGATGATTGTGCTCCATACCAGTTACTCATTTAATGCTGATTCAACCTAAGGGAGGCCCTAGAGTGGATATGATAACCACCACTGTTGTTAACCATAGAATTTAACTCGGTGGGCCCTGGGTTCGTAGCCACGCTGCTGCGTTCGCCCGAAGGCACCACGCACACACGCGCACCGCATGCACACCGACGCGCGTCATATTCACTGTTTCTTTTGTGACCATTCGCAGAGTCCGAAGCCATCTCCATGGCCATGTCTGAGGGCCGTCCCTTCAGCCTGAGCGGCAAGAGCGAGGACCTCGTGACCGAGATGGAGGCGCATGTGTCTTGCGTGGTGTAATTCGGCTCTCGCTAGAGGAAGAAAAAAATCCACCCCATGCAATCACTGACACCAACCCTCTCCCGAGCCCGAGTGGCAGATCATTCCATGGGAAAAAAAATCTAAACAAAGCAAGTGTTTGCTTAGCGCATTAATTCGAAAAAATGCTCACACAATGCCTAAACCTTCCAGCGGTCAGCTAACATTATTAATACTTTCAATGTATGGAGTAGTGCAGAGATATATTGTGTTGCTGTGAGTTTTTCCAGTCTTAATTCATGATTGTGATTTGAGTGGATCTCTAAGAAGGAATAATCCACAGTTATATTATGTCCTTAAATGTAAATGCGAATGTAAATCACATTGTTTTGGTTTTTGGAAATTGTTTTGCCTTAACACTTGATTTTGAAATAAAAAAAAATTACACACAAACTTCACTCTCGCAAGCCGTTTCATTTCCGCAAACGCATAGTCACCAAAAACATCGGTCGAACATGTCCACACGTGTCATATACGTCACCCCATCTTTCAATGTGATTCAATGCAATACAACTGGTTTTCACTATTAGCAGTTAACCATCACATGCAGTCTGCCAGAATGCACATGCAAAAAAAAGCACTGTCTTGCACATGGTGCAAAAGCGTTGTTTTTATCATAATTTCAACTCAACGCGCCGCGCAGTATTCGCTCTTGAAGAGAGACAACGACTCAGAGGTGTGAGGAACCACAGACGAGCGGAAGGGGGAATTGAAGCAGTGAGCCAGGTGCCAAAACTTGTGCAAGCTCTGCGGCCCTCGTATATTAAGGGTGTTATCAACCAACTAATGGTGTTTACATGTGGGAGGAAACCAGAGAACCTGGTAAAAACCAACACGTGCGAGGGGGCAACACTCTATCCCGTACAGATGGAATAAGTGGACTCCGCATTCGCTTGACCACCTTCTGCTGACGAGCCAGGGCATGCGGCACCTCGACGCCCACGGCAGGGAAGTTTCACAACGCTTTGGTTCTATTCGGTAAAGTCACGTAGGTAAAAAATAAAACAACAAAAATCACGACGTTTCGGCCACAACACAAGCGGCCTTCATCAGGTGAAGGGACCAACCTGTCCAGTGGACAGCGTTGGAGTGAAGCAAGCCAAGCGCTGGTCGCCTTCTTTTAAGCTGTGAGGGGGTAAATGGCAAAGGCCTTGAAAAGGAAATTAGCATAACACACCACTAACAACGCTTGGAATTAGCACAAGATGATAATACACCACCCTGGAAGTTTGGAGTGCCACTACTAGAACAACGTTTGTGTTATCCAACAACCCTCGCCTCCACAGTGCTGGATGACAGGTCATGTGCATAGCCACCACCAATTAAAAAAGCTGCCCATTTTAATTATTTGCCAGCCAACATGGGTGTGTTGATTTATCGATTAACATTCATTCGTATGAATGAGTATTTTTTGTATGCGTGCAATTGATATGCCCAATATCAAGATAATGTTACATAAAGGGTAATAAAGTGATTGAAGAAAACTAGACAAACAAATGGAAAAGAGAGAAGCAATGCCAACGAGACTGTAAAAACGAGGCAAAGATTACTTTGCTCATAAAATTGTACTACTGTATATTGCCACGTGCCGAGCAGTGGGTATAGTGGTTTCTACACAGCACTATAACGCCGGTAACTTAAGTTCGAATCCTGGCCATGGGTTACCATCAATGACGAGTGGCAACTGAACCAGTTTTGGCTGCCTGCAACACCCCCCGCCCCCCTCCACTTCCACTGCCGCCCATTCCATTAACCAACTCTCAACAGAATGGTCAAGTATGGGTAAACAACCCACGGATGGCCATCATCCAGTAGTATATTAACAAAGAGCTGTACATGATTATGATTCCAATACTACCAACAATAACCGCCGTTCACCACTAAGTGCTGGTGACGTCACCATGGCGCTTGTGCCATGCGAGGTGCACTTTGAGGCCACGTGAAGTGTCGAAGGCCTGGTGGCAGGAGGTCACGGAACAGAAACAGGTGCCATGGGTTGTCTGAGATGACTGGCAGATGCGCCAACTGTACTCCATATTGTGCCAACTCTCTACGTTCATTGTTGCGAGCGTCACTCCTCTACCCTCTGTTGTTGCTGGAGTGTGACTACCTCCAACTGCCCAGCAGCGTCCTTCACGGACCTCCTCCACAGATGCCGATCTTGACACTGCTGGTACCAGTCATCGGCAAGTACAATCAGATCCCCATCCTTTTGTCCCACATAAATCCATCTCTTCTCTAGCCCGTGCCGTGTCCGCTTCGCCCCATCTATCCGGCCGAAATCGCCGAACAAAAACTCCTTGGGCATGCAGTGGCTGGGGATGCGGGCTACATGATCCAGCCAACCGCAGTTTCGCTTGCCAGAGGAGCTCACTGTGTTCAAATCTTTCAAGGATCTGTGAACTCCTCACACAATCCAGTCCGGTTAAACCCAGGATGGATCGTAGGCAGGCTCGCCTGAATGTTTCAAACCGGCGCAGGTGTTCTTTTAAAGGGCTCCACGTTTCGCAAGCATAAAAAAGGGCATAACTGTGGCCGAGAAGACCCGGAGCTTCGTGTGGAGCGACAGGCCAGGTATCTTCCACTAGGTGTTATGCAGCTGATGGAAATATAATACAACTCGACTGATGTGAGACCTCCGGTTGCCAAAGCGGTGCTGGGCCCATATACGGAAACTTGTCCCCTCTCTCCACAACTGCCTCATCAACTTATGGGGATTCAAGGTAGGGGAGCATTTGTTGACATAAAACACCCAGGCAGGTGCTTATTTTTTGAGGGGCTGATGGTAAAGCCCCATTTCTTAGTAACATGCTCCAGGTTCAGCAGTAGCATCCCCAACTCCTCATAGCAGGCAGCAAGCACCAGATCATCATCATACATTTGGTTGACCAATAGGAGGCCATCCCTTGACCGCACCCAAGCATCGATCAGCATCCCATTGTATCTACACCAGACGGAAATGTCACCGGTATATCCATGGAAAGCTAAAACTACATGGTCGAAGGAAACGTTAAACAATGCAGGGACCAGAGGACATCCCTGTCGCACCCCGAATCGAAGGTTCCGACACCCAGCCACGCAACTTCGTTCGGGGCTTGCCCACTGCAATGAAGGTCCTTAATGATTGTGAGCAGATGGTCAGCGACTCTAAAAGCACGGAAAATAACGCAGAGCCCCTGGCCTATTTATGGTATCATTAGCCTTGACCAGGTCATTAAAGCAGAGATGTGGGTCCTGTTGAAATTCTCTACACCTCTGCTGTAGCATACAGCCAGAGAAAATGAAATATGTTACAGGACTCCTCCGGTTTGAAACCGCGTTGGGGCTCCGCAACGCTTCTTCTCAGCGTGTCTGACAAAGAGATGTTGCATTATTCCTATAGCGCAATTGAACACATTCAAAAATATAACTTGCAGCCAACGTGAAGTTCCACCACACAGGTTAAAACTAAATAATAACTGTGAAAATAGCGCATTTCTAGCCAGCCACAGCAAAGTTATGTAACAGTTGTTTGCGATATATTTCCTTTTAGTTTTTTATTTCATGTGCAGCATTGGTTCAGCAAATGACAGTGTCCCGTGGCAATAGAGCTACCGCTATATATATACTCTGTCTTAGACTATCCTGCTTTTAGGTGGTCCTTTGGATACGTGAGAAGAATTAGGAATAGTTGGCTAAGGGACTGCGCCGAATAATTAGAGTAATTAATTAAATAAAAGGCTACCAATATGAAGTTGATGCCATTGTTGAAAAATGTTAATGAATACATTGACAAGAGAAAGTTATCGCGTCTGCCAAAGACCTTTGTCTTGGCAGTTTGAATGAAGAGTAAATTGAAGCAACCTTAAAAACCAAACCTTACGCAAGTACTCATTGTTTTTCCAATTGTTCTCGCGTCGATTTTGTTTTTACGTGACAAAAAAAAGCAGTCAGTGGTATACGTCTAGGGGTAAGAAGATGCTAATGACGTGAGGTTTAAAAGCCATTATGCCCGCGGGGCAATTCACTGACACCAGGCCTGGCCATTCATTGTCCAATGTTCGCGGTAACAGTTTATCTATGCATATCTGTTGAACTTCTTGTGCACCGTACGTAGCCAACCGCGCTTATCGGAGGTGCGGCTATCAAGCAATTATTGTGTACGATTGGTGAGTGATTAATGTTGAATTGTGGCACGCGAGGACCTTTCGCGATTGTGATGTTCACTGCTTGTGATTGTTTACATGGCTGGTAGCAGTCCAGAACCTTTTGCTATTATATTTACTGTTGGTGAATGTTAATTCGGAATTGTGATTCGTAGAATTCTAGAACATGTTGTTGTTTTGATGTTTACCGTTTATGATTGAATTATTCTGAATTTAAAAATGTTGCACACATAAATGTTCAATTTGCTGCACTCTATAACCTGATTGTTGCTGCTGTGTTTGATGTTTAATTATGTATTAATTTACTACTCCAGAACCATTGCTGATGCAATGTTCAATCATTTTTACCCACGTTTTCGTTGGAGAAAATAACGTTTTTGGTCTCTTACGCAGTCTGAAATCAAAGTAAATGGAATTGAATATAATACTGTAATTGAACTGCACTGCTTACGGTGTGGTGTCACGTGTGATGGCCGTGCCAGCGAAACAAATCCGCGTGCGTGCATGCATGCGTGGTGTGTTCAATAAATAAATAATGGCGTTAAACACAGCACTGGGGGTCAAGGGAAGAACGTGATTATATCACGCAGTGTGGATTCGTACACACGCTGCGTCTGAAGTCAGCCACACTTTCCTCCCTGTCTCATTCAAACCAAAATTCGCAATACGCGTGTGCGTGTATTGTGGTGACCGCTACGACTATTACAGATGTGAAAACATTGTCCAATGTGTTTGCTATGAGCGGTACACTGATCGAATGTGCGGGCAGTGGAGTGACCCAGACGCCAGGCTACGAAGAGGCTGAAACATTTCAGCACCATCAAACCGCCAGAGCCCATGCCAATCATGCACGCTACCCCACTGTTTGAAATGTTTTCCAGCGTATTGACGACTGTAGGCCTATGGGGCAGTCAATGCTTCGCTGGCCCAACTCAGTCCATATTCACAAATCAATTAAGCCTTTCATCCCTTATTTGAAATGGATATCAAGCAATAATTGGCGATGGGAGTATTTGTATTGCCTTCCAATGAAGAGTGGGTTTACTTTTGACAGGTGTACACCTATTGAGATTCAGTAGGTGAACGCCTCATTACGATAGCCTGTGCTAAAAGGCGAGCATCATTTGGTGCAGTGGCGTTGCACGGTTGGCAATGGTCCTGGTGCTAGGAATGAAAATGGGACCCCCTGTGATCTATCACTGTCACCTCACACGTCACGTCTTCGCGTGCCAATAGCGCATTTCACAC